CCCGGAGGCCTCGGCAGGGTGGCGGGGCCCGGCTGACCAGGCAGTGCTGGTGGCTGGTCCCTCTCCACATTGACACCGGGACAGCCACTGGCCAGGGACTTGGGCTTTAAGAGCAAGTGTCCCAGAAGCCAGGGAGCAGAGACAGCTAGACTCGCAGACTAGCAAAGGGTCACTCTGAGTCAAGTAGTCTCCGGGGACAGGTCAGGGACCATCGCGGACCCCCACCCCCCGTGGTGAGCATGGAGTTCTGGGGCCTTGAAGCATCTGCATTCAGGCGGCCCTCAGGCTCCCGCTCCTCCCACGTGGTTTGTGGGTAACTGTGAGGCCCCCTCCCCAGCAACCACGGCTTCCAGGAGCTCGAACTGGAACAACATCCAGACAACGTCTGGCCAAGCAGCCTCCCTGGCCAGCTCTCACCCCTGGCCAAAAGAAGTCTCTGGGGACACCAAGCTCCCACCTCCAGGCCTGGGGCGCAGGGCCAGGTGGGCAGCTGTAGAAATTCTCCTGGGGCAGCCGTGTGCCACAGCTGAGAGCCATTGTCCAAGGGTAGAGATGACCATGCCAGGCTCCGGCCGCACAGGGGTGAGCGTGAGCCACGCAGCCAGTGTCTGCTTGCCTGGAGCAAGGGGGACGGTCATTTCAGCATTCACACCGGCTCTCCTCCTGGCTACCCCACAAGGGTCCATCCAGCCCTGTCCCAGGTTTCCGTCGTAACTTACAGGGAACTTTCACAACGTCGGGCGCCCTTGACGTCCTGCAGGTGAAGAAGGAGGCTGTCCTTGGATTCCTTGCAGGGGAACCCACTTAGGCGGCACCAACCTTGACTTCCAAAGGGAGCCACATATGCCCCAAAGGAGAAGCACGGTACACCTGCGGGGACCTGGGAGGAGCTGCCGCGGTAGCCATTGAAGGGCCTGCCCCACGTCACATCTCCCAGGGATGCAGACAGAGGGCGGTGCCAACGTTTGCTGCTGGCCTGAGCCACTCCCGTGGCTGGTCCTCCGCTCCTGGAACCTTCCCTGACCGGATCAGGCAGCCTTCTGGGAGCCGCATCCTCCGGTGGTGACTGACCCCAGGGCCGGCCCCGGCCTCTCACGGAGGCGTCTCCTGCCGCTGTACCTGCCCTACCCTGCTCTGCGCCTGCCAGACTCCACTCTGTGCTGTGCGGACAAGCGCCCTTCCAGGCTCACTGGGCGGGTCTGAGGCGGGGGCTGCTGCAGTGCCTGGTACCACCTCCTGGGAACAACCATGGGAGAGCATGCCTGCTCTCTACCTCTGCAGAGACCCTGAGCGCTTGAAAGGAGGAGCAGGCCCCGCTGAGCACACTGTGAGTGTGGGGGTTGTCCAGGAGAGTGGACGGCACCGGCTCCTGCGTTCACTGCTGCTCAGCCCGAGGTCACAGACTGGTCTCAAGGCGTGCAGGTGCCCTCTGTGTGCACCCAGCAGCTCCCTACTGGGCCCGGGAGACTGGAGTGGCCAGCCTGCCACGGAGACTGGTCTGCAGTCTGCTGCTCAGACCACCAAATGGGTGGGGACCACCACCAAGGGTCTTAGTCTGCTCTCCCAAGGGTCTCACACAAAGTGGAGATAAGGGTGGTGAAGAAAACAGACATCAGTTTACTAAGAAAGGAAGAAGAATTCAAGTCGGTTCTTAGCAAGTTAGATGTACACTCATCATATGATTCAGCCATCCCCCTCCTGGACAGCCAGTCCCCTCCTGGACAGTTAGCCACCCCTCTCCTGGACAGACAGCCAGTCCCCTCCCTGGACAGACAGCCACCCCCCTCCTGGACAGTCAGCCATCCCCTCCTGGAAAGACAGCCACCTGCCTCTGGACAGACCGCCACCCCCTCCC